ATGTAGATAAGCAGTTTCGGTTCCCATTGACTTCCATTGTATTTTTTTGCCCACACTCTTAAAAATAAAGGTGCTTCACGATGCCATAGAAGAACCTTTTTGTCTAAATAGTTCCATAAAGAACCTTTAACATCTGAAGAACCTTTCTGTTTCACAAAAGGCTCTTTGTGGGAAAAGAAGGTTCTTCCGATTTTAAAAAGTTAAGAAAGACATGGTTCTTTAAAGAACCTTTGACTGAATGGTTCTTTGTGGAACCAAAAATGGTTCTTCTATGGCATCGCTGTGAAGAACCTTTTGAAGCACCTTTATTTTTAAGAGTGCTTGCACTAGAAGTCAATGGGAACCGAAACTATTTAGTTAACAACGTTCTTCAACATGTCTTCTTTTGTGTTCCACAGACGAAAAAAAGCCATACAGGGTTGGAACAACAACAAAATTTTACATTTTGGATGGACTATCCCTTTAAGGCTCTCAGATAGTCAGATTTGTTGCATAAAACGTTCTAGTAAATACTTTTTGTACAAGCCATTGTCAAATGCACACTTTAATAATCTATAATAATATTTTTAGATATGGCTGTCACGTCCTCCAGAGGCCCAAACTCCTTAAAACAACACCAGAGTCCACACAAATGACTTTCATTCAAATTCATGGCATGGATCAGTGAAATTGTTGACCTCAAATTACATGGCTAATATATTCCAATTGGGTAGACACTCAAATCCACATGCACAGAGACATAAAGAGAAGCTGAAAGCACAACAGATGTACACTGCTGTCCTCACTGATGCTGTAACACCAACTCACAAAGAGCAATGGGCTAATTCTGATTAAATGCATCGCTTTTTATGTGAATATTTATCCGTAGTAAAGAAAAAGAGAGCAATGTGAAATTTTTAGATACTTTGCTGTGTGTGTCTGCATGAGTGCAGGCTTTGTGTTGAGTCACAGGAAGCACAGGGGGGTTGTGGTGACCAGGTCTGGGTCGGCTTTGTCTGTCCAGCTTTCCATCAGCAGCATGATGGATCTGTAGGGTGGACAGAGGAGACAGACTCAAACAAGCTACAAACTTCACTTTCTTCATGAGCGAGATTCACGTATTCACATTTTACTGCTTTCTGGAATACTAAAATGTCCATATTTTATATATACATATATATGATATTGGATAACCATATATATATATATATATATATATATATACACACACACACACACACACACACGT